CGCTATCGAGGGCGGCAAAGAACGGGCACGAGGCAGTGGTGAAGCTGCTACTCGACACAGGCAAGGTCGACGTCGACTCGAAGGATCAATACGGACGAGCACCGCTATGGTTAGCGGCAGCAAACGGGAACGAGGCCATAGTAAAGCTGCTGCTCGACACGGGCAAGGTCGACGTCGACTCGAAGGACCAGTACGGACAGACGCCATTATGGTGGGCAGCAAAGAACGGGCCCGAAGCAGTGGTGAAGCTGCTGCTCGGCACGGGCAAGGTCGACGTTAACTCGAAGGATCAGTACGGACAGACGCCGCTATTGAGGGCGGCAGAGAACGGGCGCGAGGCGGTGGCCAAGCTGATGCGGTCGCACGTTAGCCTCCGTCAATAACCTACAATACCTCTTCATTTAATCTCCTCTCCGCCCACCACCTCCTATTAGTCTCCTTGTACTCCCTATAGTGTCATATTATAAATACAACTTACGTGTCTGCCTTCAGATTGTCTACCGATAGTTTATGCCGCTGTCTAAAAGTTAACCGCGATTATACCAGTGCTTAACGAAAAGTATCTTGTGGCAGGTGGCGCAGAAAGCGGGTACGCTAGTAGAGAGGACGGCTGACCCGCTCCGGCCATAGGGTTGTGAGGTGGCGAATTCTGTAGGTGTTTTCAGAGAATTGAATTATGGCCAAGGTTGAGTTGGATCGCAAGGCTGGGGGGCTAAGGTCGGCCCGCTTGCCAAGACTCCGCACAGCCACAGGCCTGACAGCCACTGTAAGTAAATTACATCGTGATGATTACGTGGGACATGCAGGGTTGTTTTGCACTAGCTGTGATAGGCAATTGCTTCGTTTGGGGTACCAATCGGCGTGGCGACGTTGCATGAATTTTGCGCGCCACAGCAGACACAGGCTGATGATGACATCCCGACACTATAGTAAGGCTCTAAGGCTTGGATAACACCCTTTTATGAATATTGTAGGTGGTAAGAGCTTGATAGTGGTGCTGTAGTAAAGGAACACTATTATGCTAGAAAACAAGGCTCTTTGTAAATTAGACGTGAAGGCCACGATGTGAATGTAATATTTAGGTGGAAGAGGTTCTAGATGTTTGAGAGTAGCTGTAGCACAGGACTTATATAGCATTATAGTGAATATTAACGTGTGCACAGATTTTGAGTTGCTTGAAGTCAAAGTACCCTTTATATTTCTTAGCATAGTGGGCCTCTTAGCACGTAAAAACAAACGTTATATATTTACGTTAATTTCTAGCCCTTTCTATAAAAAAGAAATAATAAATATATATATAAAGTATAAAGTATAGTTATAATATACTACATTTATTTTATTTTAAGAACATATAAAAGTTAAACTAAGTAAATAGTATGTAATTTATTAAATACTAAAATAATAATAATAAGTTTTATTTTACTTAACTTATGTTTAAAAAGTACTAATATACTATATTATATAACTAATTTTTTATTAATATAAACTTTTGTAAGTATATATATATAATATTTTATATAAATAAAGTACTAGTTTATATATTTTATTTTAAATAAAAATATAATATTACTAAGTTAAGTATATTTATTTTAAAAAAGTATTTTACTAATATTAAACTTTATAGTAATATTAATTTTTAACATTTTTATTTTTATTTTTATTTTTATTTTTATTTTTATTTTTATTTTTATTTTATTTTTATTTTTATTTTTATTTTTATTTTTATTTTTATAGTTTATAAGGTTAAGTATACTTAAATATAGTTATAAAGTACTACTTATTTTATAAGCTATTTTAAAATTTAATTAAACTTATATAACTTTCTTTTTTTCTTTTTTTTTAAATATATAAAAAAATTTTACAATTTTTTTATAATTTTTTAGTAGCTATTAAATTTTAATACTTTTTTTAAATTTAACTTTTTATTATTTATTATTTTTTTTAATATATGTACTTTATTTTATTTTTAAATTACATAATAACTATATTAAGTTTTTAAATAATACTTTTAATTTACTTTATAAACTATTTTATTTTAATTTAACTAATTTATATTACTTACTAAATAGAGTTTAATTTATTAGTTATATACTATTTAAATTTTATATTTACTTATAAAATATAGGTTATATGTTTTCTTTTTATATTTATAGTAAACTTACTTTTTAAAAAAATAATTTAAAGGCCTATTTTTAATTAGTTTAGTAAATAATTAGTTTAATACTTTTTTATTATTACTAAGTAATATTAAGTCATTTATATTATAAGTAAATATTTTATAATATATATAAAGTTATACTTTTAAAACTAAATAATTTTTTTTTGAATTTTTATTTTTGTTACTTTTAATTTTACTTTACTTATCTCTAAATTCTGTAATATTATTACTAGTTTTACTATTAAATGTTTTAGACTTTTTTTTAAATATTTATTATAAGTATTTTAATTTTTTTTAATTTAAATTTTAAATATATTTAAGAAAAGCTTTATTATTTTAATTTTATACTTTTACTACTTAAATAGTTTTATATTAAGAACTTTATATAATATATTATTATTTTGTATAAATAAGTTACTTTAATTTATATTTTAGTTAAAAAATTAGTAGTTTATAACTTTATACTTTTAAATTAATTAACTATTTTATACTACTAGTTTAAACTTTTAATTTTAATGTATATATTTATAAAGTTTACTTTTATTTATTACTAAGTAGTACTTTTAATTAGTAACTTAGCTAGTAAGTTTCTTAATATTATTTATTTATATATTAAGTATATTAAGTTATATTTTTATGTCTTTAAGTTATAATATATATACTACTTTTTTAATTAATAAACTTAAGAAAATAAAGTTTATAAAAAAAATTATTAAATACTAGTATTTTTATTTTTAACTAGTATTTTTTTTATTAGTTTACATTTTTATTATAAACTTGTTATAATTTTTTTTAATTATTATTTTAGTAAACGTTTTATACTTTAGTTTTTTTATTTTTTATTAATAAGTTTAATAGAGTTTTACAACTTATTATAAAAAAGTTTTTATAATTAGTAATTTATATAGTAGCTTTTTTTTAAGCTATTATTATTTTTTATTATTAACTAGTACTTTAGCTAAAGTTTTATTAGTTACTTTAAAATTAGTATTTTAATTCCAGTTTTATTTAATAGTAGGTTTATTATTTTATATTTTAGTTATTTTTTCTAAAAAAAAGCTTTAAATAAGTAATTAGTATTTTTTATAAAAAAAATTATTAAAACTTAGCTTATTTTAATAATATAAGTAAATAGAATTTTTTTTATAAGCTTAAACTTATATAGCTATTAAAATTAAAAAGTAAATAAATTAGTTTTTATTTATTTTAATAAGCTAATAACTTCTATAATTAAAAAAAACTAAAAAGAAAATACTTAAAAAAATTTGTGTGTACATATAAATAAAAAAAAAATTAAAAAAAGGTTTATAATATAATATAAAAAAATTATAATTTATATTTAATTTTTAGCTTTTAAAATAATAAGAGTTTATTATAAAAAGTACTTTAATATACATTTTTTAACTGTTTTAATAATAATTCTATTAATTAAAATACTTTGTTTTTTATACATAAAAAAATACAACGTAACTAACTTTATATAATATAATTAATTTTAAGTAATATTTTTAAAAAAAATTTTACTATTAATTTTATATACTAAAAGTAATAGTATGTATTTTATAATAATAAAGCTTATATAATACTAAAGTTAAGTAAATATTATTTAAACTTATTAAAAACTTTATTATTATAAAAGTGTTGAGTTATAACTATAAAGTAAATTTAAGTAAAAAATAAAAAGTTTACATTTATTTTATAGTTATAATACAAATAAGTATTTTAAGTTAGTAAATTATTATATTTAAATAGTTTATTTATAATAAAGTAAAGAAATTATTATATAAGCATAATATAATTAAACCAATTTTTTTATTTAAATATAGGCTTTTATTTATTATAAAAGTGTAATTTTATATACTTAAGTTTATACTTTTATAAAATAATATAACTTTTAAGTAAATTTATAGTAAGAAATTAAGTCTTATAAAGTATTATTTAAATAGTAAAATAAGTTTATAAAAAAGTTTCTAAAATATAGTATTAAAACATTTTTACTTAAGTAAAAAATAAAAAAAACAAAAAAAAACTTATACTTTTTTTTTTACTAAAGTATATTAAAATTAAACATAAATTTTTTTTAATTTTAAACTATAATAACTACATTTTTATATTACTATTATAAGAATTAAAACTTTTAATTAAAAAGTTTAGTAAAGTTTTCTAAAAATAGATAAATACTTAATAAATAAGAATTTAGTAGTATACTTTTTAAAAAGAGTTTAAAAAAAAGTAATATTTAGGTAGTTTATAATTAGTATAAAATTCTACTAGTTAATATAATAAAAAAACTAAAAATAGTAGTTAAAAAAAAGCTAAAAAAAGCTAATAAAAATATAAAAAATCTTAGCTTATTAGTTTAGTTATTTTTTTAATAAATTAAATACTTACTTTTTATTACTAAACATAGTAAAGCTTCTTTCTATTTAAATAGGAAGGGGAGTTTCAATTCAAAACTCTGTCGAGGTTGCACCGAAAATTCTCGCGTTCTTGTTGGTCAAAAAATGTAACATCACGTGTTTGGGTTCCAGTTATTCCGTGTCAGAGGAACACCAAAACTTCTCGCGCGACTAATACTTCAACGCCCTAGCTATCCCTAATGCTGCTTCCCCGACGCTGCTTCTCTACAGCTGCCTCCCTAACGCTACGTCTCTACAGCTACCCCCCTGACGCTGCCTCCCTAACGCTGCCTCCCTAACGCTGCCTCCCTAACGCTGCCTCCCTAACGCTGCCTCCCTAACGCTGCCTCCCTAACGCTGCCTCTCTACAGCTACCTCCCTTGCGCTGCTTCTCCCACACTACTTCTCTCCAGCTGCTTCTTTGATGCTGCTTCTCTCTATTGCTGCTTCTCTCTCTATCGCTGCTTCTCTCTCTATCGCTGCTTCTCTCTCTATCGCTGCTTCTCTCTCTATCGCTGCTTCTCTCTCTATCGCTGCTTCTCTCTCTATCGCTGCTTCTCTCTCTATCGCTGCTTCTCTCTCTATCGCTGCTTCTCTCTCTATCGCTGCTTCTCTCTCTATCGCTGCTTCTCTCTCTATCGCTGCTTCTCTCTCTATCGCTGCTTCTCTCTCTATCGCTGCTTCTCTCTCTATCGCTGCTTCTCTCTCTATCGCTGCTTCTCTCTCTATCGCTACTTCTCCAACGATGCTTCTCTATAGCGGCTTCTCTAATAGTACTGCCTCTCTGCAACAACTTTTCTGGCGCAGCTTTTCTGGCTCTGCTTTTCTGGCGCTACTTTTCTAGCGCGGCTTTTCTAGTGCGGCTTTTCTGGAACAGCTTCTATAGCGTTACTTCTCTAACACTATTCTTCTCTTTA